CCTCTCTCTCTCTCTCTCTCTCTCTGAGGATTCATGATACTAGATTGCTTGGTTTCGTCTTTTTAAACTTGTCCCAGATGAAAGAAAGCGATAAAATGTGAGGATAACTACAACTGGTGGTGGCTTTTCTGTTTTTTGCAGGGAGGAGTCTGAGGGTAAGCTGAAGGGGATCTTGGGCTACACTGAGGATGACGTGGTCTCCACTGACTTTGTTGGAGACAGCAGGTACATGCATAAGCCTCAACTTAGTTTATTCCTATGGGGGTGGTGAAGGATATAATTTTTGCCCAATTTTCTCAATTTTCAGACATGATGAGTGTAGATGGAGTGGGCCAATCTTTGGTTAGTTTGTATAGGGCAAATGACAGTATAATGTTTGAAGTTACTTTAAAATATATCTCTTGATTGTAACTTCAAAATTTATTGGCATTGAAAAAATGAAACAGGTCGAGAACTTTATTTTTCTTGTACTCGCATGATCTTAGTCTGGTGTACCGTGGAAACTTTTCATAAATTTCAGCTAGAAAATATTGGTAACTGCATATTCTGACCTGAAATTATACACCTTGCCCAACTTGTTTGTGACACTGGACATGTCATGTACCGTGAAAACTATTTCTTCGGTCTAAAAGGATCATGACTTTCAACACCCAAGATATGCCTAGCCAACTAATGGCATTTATAGACCAGATCACATAACAACACCAATTAGTTTTTTGTACCAAACAAGAAAAGCAATATTAAGGTTTGTTTCTGTAAGATTTTGAAGGTGTTCATTTGGAAAAGATAAAGCCAGGATGGGAGGTAATTGGTGATTTTGTAACTAGTGCTTTAGATTACCTTCTAGTAGACTAGTGATACTTGCATGTTATGTATTTATTGGGCATTTTAATTTAGTGTACGGGAGCAATAAATCCAAAGCTTGAACTCTTAGCAACCTTTACACTAGACTTCCCAAGACCAAGCCAGAGTGGCCAGTGCAACTGGTGAGACTGCCCGGTGGTCCCTTGGCTTCTCTAGTTTGGAGGAAAAAATTGCTTGGTCAAAAATTGGTTAAACCAATTATTCAAACTGGTTGGAATTGGCATTTTTGGACTAGCCAAACAAGGTTGTGCAACTCTTGTTGTAATATATGCTTGATATTTTAAATATATTATTCCATATATTTGTTGGTTTTAAAAATCTGGTCTTACATGTCTGCCTAGCGATTGGACTCCTGACTGTTGCTCTAAAGAGATTGTCGCAAGCATCTGATCATGACATTGTTATGTGTTTGGGCAGGTCGAGCATCTTTGATGCGAAAGCAGGGATTGCATTGAATGATCACTTTATGAAGTTGGTGTCGTGGTACGACAATGAATGGGGCTATAGGTGTGTATGCACATTCTACTGAACTTTTGACATTGCTATATTATTTTTTGTTGGAGCATGGTCTTTTTTATGTTGTTTTACTACAATATGTGCCATTCATTTCTTGGGTTCACATGTATCGCATATATAAATGTGTGTATGTACTAGGCTATTCCATAGGGCAACAATGTGTTTTGTATTACATATAGGTCTTCAAAGGGATACTCACTAACAAATGTATGGCCTAGAAAACCCTTTTGGCTCATACAAAACCAATTGTATTTGCTCCTTTTTCTCATGGAACACCAAATAAGTCTAGGCATGGGAGACAAATGTATCCATCGTACCCGTTACTAAAATTCAACAAATGAGTTGGAGTATGTATGGTCCTGTGCACCCCCACCAAAGCAGGACGTGATCCCTGTGGTAGGGTCATTCTCTACCATAACTCTCCTGAATTCATGTGTTTAGGACCATCCAACAAAGGGGCGGCACCCTTGAGGCCCTAGATCAAGTGATAGAGAAGCCCCACCACCCTAAATCCTATGTCCTTTTGGCCCAAGGAAAGACTTATCACCCTATGGACAGCATGGAAGAATGCCCTCAGTGCAGAATGCATCCTTGCTTCTCCACAATCAAGTATACCTGGATTTTTGAAATGGAGATCCCTCTTCCTTTGCTTTGCTCAAGTTTCACTATTCAACTTGAACAACAACCTTCAACCTAAGGATGTTAAAACTCATTACCTCTTTCCACCCTGCTCCTTATCCACTAGAAATAACCATGGGATCACTTAACCAGCGTTTGCGTCTCCATTTTCTTCAGTTCTCTTTGGTTTTAGTCATGGGAAGCCTGGACACATTGATTATATCTAAGAATTGGTCTGGCTGGATTGAATCTGGCCTGGGTCCGGGTCAAGCCAACCTGGTGTTTGCATATAATTTGAACTTGAACCCAGGTCGGATTTGGGGCCCATTTACAAGCATAATTTGTTTCTAAACTTTTTTGGGTATAAGTTATTTGTCAATATTTTTTTTGAGTATTTGTTATGAATGTACAACTTAAAAGAGTTGATATCTAATATTTTTTAAGTTTGCTTTCCACTTACACTGACCCTTGTGTTTTTGCTTCTTGTAGTACACGTGTGATTGACCTCATCTGTCACATGGCGTCCGTATCAAATTAGAGAGATAAAGAAGAGAGAGATGGAGGTATTTCTCTCTCTACTTTTTTAGGGACGTGACTTTGTGTTCCTGAGGATGTCTAAGCTCTAGAGTATTTTTGAGGATCAAGAGTGAATAATGAGTGTCTGAGTGGGTTTTGAAACCGACTGGTCTTCGTATTTAATGTTTGCGGTTATGCTTTTAATGTCACTTTATTGTAGTTATGTTCTCCTTTGTTATATTTCTATCTTTTTTGTAATGGCATATACACCTAATTCCTTCTTTTTGCAACGGCATACACGCTTGATGTTTTGGATTGGGTTGGGGAGCTGCTTGTTTGTGGTTTTCTGGATGGACCACATAGCTCATGGCCTCGCGCGTACGCGTCTTGTCTGTTTGAGAATTTTCATCTCATCTTTTGATGGTTTAAGGATGATATAAAAAATTTTGGATGTAGAAAAAAAAAAGAAAGGGAACCTCGTGTTTTGGGCGACAGACCATGTTCTATTCTATTGTGGGCGGGCGGGCGGGCTGGCTGGCTGGCAAGATCAGCAAATATTTATAGAGAAATTGTTTAGAGATGCAATTAAAGGAAATCGGTTCTCTTATTGTGGGTGGGAAAGAAATCCTCCATTCTCGATGGAAATCATGCGACCCCGTTAACATGTAAATTTGACGCCCCTTCTCGGCTGTTCGATCTAAATCAACCCCTTCTCGGCTGTTCGATCTAAATCAATGGCAGGCATTGGTCACAATGTTGTACCAAAAAACTGTTCGATTGTAATTTTCTTTCTACAAAACCTTCTATTGTTGTTATCTTTCGACCAAACTTTCTTGGCTGAACTTTGGGGCGTTCCTAAACCTTTGGCGCCCCTAGCAAGAAAATTAGTTCTCGTGAAAATAAGTGATTAAAATGCCGCTAAAAAATGTGGGGGTATTTTTGGTAATTTTTATCACATGAAACTTTTTTATTATTATCGTATGCGCTCCTCTTAGATGCAGCATGCGTGCCTCAAATTTCACTGTAGAATGGTTTATAGAATAAAAATTTAAAATACAATACTTTGATCAAGATCTGATGCTAGCTTGTGAATCAAACCGTTTCAGCCATCTATGCAATTTAGATTTGGTGGCTGATATTTGGGGCCATGAATACTGGGCTCTCATGAAAGCTCTCCCCTCCCAATCAATAAATAAGGACATTAGTACGGTAGTTCTCCAATGCAATAATCGGAGGGAAAATGCTAATAATGTACGCTTTTATTTTGTCGGTGTGCATTTATGCGGGTTCCGTGTTAGCCATAGAGAGCTTTAGAAGGCTCTTGAATAAACTCAATGTGTGACGGCACAAAATTAATAATGTGATCCACAAAAATTAATAAGAGTAGTGTGATCCCTTGGGGACTTTGTGCTTAAAACAATATTAAAGCCCAATTTTAAATCTACCAGTCAAAATGTGATCTGTGCGTAAAAATTAATCGGTCTCATTATATGTATTTCCAATTCAAAAAAGAGAATATTGCCGCCGATTGTTATTTCTACAAGAGGGAACAAAGAAGTGATTGGTGATAGTTGATTTTGATGAGGGGGAGTTTTGAAAAAAGGAGCATATAGGAGCTCCTATGATCCACTTTAATCAGTCTTTTCACCCATGTTTTGCAATCTTTGAGGGTAGGTGTTTGCCCTGGTTTTAAGCCCTCTTTTGCATTTAGAAGTAATAGGCCAGCCCTTTTTTTTTTGTTTTTTTGGGGGGGGGGGGTGGAGTCGCTTTTACTACTATAGTCAGGACCCCTCTTCAGTGTTTGAAGTACCAAGTGGCCTAGCCACCCACATTGGTGAAGAGGGCTAGAGCCTTACCAAGGAAAATAGTCATCCAAACTGGGCCGCACCTTAGTTAAGTACCACCCTATCATAATTTGCGTAAAGTTCCAACATTACACAATCAAAGGCACACCTCTAGATTTTATTATAAAATGCAATTTTTGGGTAAAAAATTATTTGAAAATCTATTTTTATCTCTAATTATAAAATTTTAATCTCCAGAAACATTTCAAATTAAGTAAGTTTATGAGCACATTAAAATCTTGAAAAAGGACAGTCCAAACAATGTTTTGAAATATACACTATTTTTTAGACTCAATTTTTTATTTTTTCAATTTCTATACTTCTCGACATCGAGATGTTATACCACAACAGCCTTTTCTTGATAGATTTTTTAGATGCACTTTAGTTCTACCTTCTAAAGTTGCAACCATGTATAAACCTTTTCCATCATAAAAAAAAAAAACTTATTTAGATAGGTCTTTAACCTCATTCCCATACAGAAAGGATTGACACCAGTACTACTGGTTCTTTAACCAAGTCTTGGGGGTCTACCATGCCCATATGTAAATTCCAGGACCTTTGTCATATTCTAAGTATGTAAATTCAAGGACCTTAGGCATATTCTAAATTTAAGCACAAAAAACTAGTGTACTTAAATGACCTAGGAGAGATTGAAATGAAAGATAAGGAGTACAAATTTATGATTATGGTAGTCATGATAGACATGTAAAGTTCTAAATTATTGATTCATATCCAATATGGATTTTAGAAAGGGTTGATCCTCCTACGATAGAGGATGATAGGCAACTTTAAGTTAAAATTAGAGAAATTATAAAAAATATACCCCTTTTTTTATATTATTAGAAATAAACCCCAAATTTTAAAAAAAAAGTCATCTTCACCCCTTTTGCATTTTTGTGATTGAAATACCCTTCACATAAAGTATTAGATCAATGAAGCCATAACAGTTCTTTAAGCGCCGTAATGCTTCAAGTGACCAGCACGGTTCTTTAAGAGGCGCGATGCTTCAAGTGACCATCACGGTTCTTTAAGAGGCACAATGCTTCAAGTGACCATCACGGCTCTTTAGTTTCTGCGATGCTTCAAGTGACCATGTGATAATCTAGAAACCCTCTGTGATGCTTCAAGTGACCATCATGGTTCTTTAAGAGGCTCAATGCTTCAAGTGACCATCACGGTTCTTTAAGAGGCATGATGCTTCAAATGACCATCACGGTTCTTTAATTTCCGTGATGCTTCAAGTGACCATGTGATAGCCTAGAAAACCATCACGGTTTTTAATTTCCACGATGCTTACCATGTGATAGCCTAGAAAACCATCACGGTTCTTTAGCTGATGTGATGTTTCAAATCACCATCACGATTATTTAAATGCCATGACGCTTCAAGTGACCATGTGATAGTCCAGAAACCCATCGTGGTTCTTTAAAAGCCATGATGCATTGGCTTAAAAGCCGCTATGGCCATCACGGTTTTAGGTCAACCATCATGCCTTCACGGATCTAAGACAACCGTGAAAGGCATTATCATCAAAAGGCCACAAACAATAGATTTAAAAAAAAGGTTTGGATGAGATTTTGAAAAATTTGAAGTTTATTTCCAATATTCCAGAATAAGAGTAAATTTCCCTTAAAACTAAAACATGACGAGAAATAGTTTAAATATCACGCGTACATTGACAAATTTCCCAGGAATTTATCCTAAATGAAATAAAGAAGGAACCAATTTATTACTAAGCAAAGATCAATGCATGTCGGTGCTCTCAATTAGAGATAAGAGACATAATAGCATCAAAGATGATATTTTCTCACCGCTGCATATTATTTGAATGGAATGGATTTGTATACAATGAGACCATTTACTTCTTATACAACGTGGTTTACAACCATTTTATGTGAAATTTGATAGCTTAAAATTCAAGAAAATTTCTTTTGAGCATGGTCTATAGAATAATTGTAGCCACCCAATTTCATATCCAATAGTCAAGATTAATGTAGGAGATTACAATTGTTAAATCCAAGGTGCACTACATAGGTTCAAATCTCAAATGGAGAGGAGAGGCGAAAGAGAGGCAACAATAGTAAAACCAACAGTAAAATAGCATATTTAAGGAGATAGAAAATTTATCAAACACCTAAAAGTGATAACAACTAACACTTTCACCTATATTTTTTATTTTATTTCATAATATCAATGTCTTCGTACGCAAGTTTTGCCAGAGGCCGTACGCTGAAAGGCAAGTCTGCCCGGGCGTCGTTCCAGGCACCGCCCCCTCATTCTCATAAAAAAACTAAAAATAAAAATAAAACGCATAATGTTGAGAGGGAGTAGTTGTAAATGGGTAAGATACTAGATAATCTCTCTTGTGGGTATCTCGATAAATTCCCTACAGAGATTTTAAACACCAAACCAAAAGGAAAAGAGCTCCCTCATCTTAATAAAACTTCCATTTCCTTAGCGAGCAACGGATGCCATGTGACAGATAAGATCGATAACCCGTGAGCTGCACCAAACCAAAAATTTCGTTTAAAGAGAGAGAGACGCTGCCTAAGTACATGAAATTATACTTCACTGAAATAACTTTCGCATAGAGAGACCAATCAAATAAGTACTAGAAATTAAAGCTCATAAACAGTGAGAAACCAATCAAATAAGTATAAGTACTAGAAATCAGAACTTATAAACAGAGAACGAACTGCAGCAAACCAAGAAAAACTATATATTTTTAGAGAAATAGATACTGAATAAAGTAGAAGTAATTACATCTTAGAGATACTTCCTGTGGTTCCATACATTTAGAGAGAGGGATCTATTACATAAGCACTAGAAATTGAAGTTTATGAAAATAAAATTTTGATTTTAGACTTCAGGGTAGTGAAGTATACCTGTAGCCCCACTCATTGTCGTACCACATGACGAGCTTCATAAAGTTGTCGTTCAGTGCTATTCCTGCCTTGGCATCGAAGATGCTTGACCTGCCCCAAAATACAAATTAACACCATTAAGTAACAAAATCTCTCTTTTCTCTCTCTAGGCTTAGGGGTAAGTCAGGTACCGGCTGTCTCCCACGAAATCGGTGGAGACGACATCATCCTCGGTGTAGCCCAAGATCCGCTTCAACTTCCCCTCCGACTCCTCCCTGCAAAAACAAAACCACCACTGCCAAATTTAGTGAATCATCCTACTAATAAATCTAAAAAAGAACAGCCAATGCACTATAACCATCAATATAGAGAGAAGACATCAAGGGATTGTCTACAAAGAGACAATTTATCTTTTATACGTGGAGGTCACACTCATTCTTGTTCCTTAGATTTCAAAATGAGTGGTTGTAAGGTGTCATTGAATAGACACAAGGTTCCAAAAAAAATTTCTCAACCATCCAATTTGACATCTAATGAGTGAGAATGATTGTGACCTCCATATACAAAAGATAAATGGTCTCTTTGTAGATAATCCCTTCCTATAAACACAGATATAATACATATTTTGTAATGCATTTTTTGACCGTCAATTTTCAAGATTTTCAAGTTTTCATAAATCTATCGATCTACACCACTTTTGAAGTTTTAAACTTTATAAATAAAGATGAAAATATATTTTAAGGCTATTACAAAGATTTCTAATGTTGAAACCACATTTCTCGACACTATTTAAAGGTAGGCTCTTATTTGATTGTTTAGAGCCTAGCCTCTATACAAACTGCACCCTATATATATAGGGAAAAGTTAATATAG